GCATTGATTTTTTCACTGCACTCGTTGAAGTGATGAGTTGGAAATACAACACTAACAACTGGTAACTTAATCGCTTCATTTTGTTTAAGCGTCACAAGCAGCATGTTTACGTAATGTGTGAAAGTGTAAAGCTGCTACAAACGAACAGGCGAACTAAAGCAACCGCAAAGCCAACTGACGCCGCCGGCGCACAGCGCTGATTGTGCGATAGCAAAATTTCAGGCAAACATAGAGAAAGTAAATAACAAAGCTAAGCAGAAATAAAAATAAAAAAATGAAACATAGTTACCGACGCCAAAGACAGAGCTAGTGAAACACAACAACAAGGCCGATATAAATTGGTCAGCATAGTAATCAGTGGACCTGTGCTGAAGCTGTGTGTGGGAAGAAAGCCGGAAGCACAGCACTTGAAGTCAACTATAAAGAAAAAGCGTATATACTACAACAATAATAAGCTAGCAAGAAAAAAAATTATAATAAAGCCAAAAGCACAAATACAGCGCCTTCAAGAACAAGGCTTCAACACAATCAATTGTTGTAGCGAAATAGCGGTGTGTCTATATTGCCGTTGCTGCGGCTCGGCTGTTGTTGACAGTGACAGTGAATAAGAAAGACGCACAAATAAAGTGGCATACATAAAATAGAAGGCATAATAAAGTGAGGATAAAGCATCTAATAACTACAACAAACAACAACAACACAGGAAATATATGGAAATACGACAAGCGCTGGCTTCGTGCTGACAGCAAAAGAAATTAACACAAAAGCCTGAGCGAATCCAGTGAAGCAGCCGCAGTGGGGCGTACACAACAGCGGTGGTTCAGCGGGGAGGGGTGTTTAGTAGGCACAGTAGAGACACAAAGCAGTCTCAACATAATGCACAGAGCGCTAAGGCGAGTATATTATACTTCCCGGCATTTGGTTATGACGCACGTTTGTCAAATAAATCAATTTACATGCTAAAAGTGTCGCTGGACAAAGTGCAAAACAGCAAAAATAAAGCGCTGGCAAGCCGGAAAAAGAGCGACATAAAACTGTCGACGTTGTCGAAGCGCGTCCGCTTGTAGGTCACTCGCAAATGCCTACAAGCAGGAATAGCAGATTTTGATTATCAACCTAATTTGGACACCAGGCAGACTGACAACGTGTCTGACGTAAATGTGATTAGACTTGAGCGCACTGAATGGTCGTCCGCAAAGTGGCAGCATAAAAGAAGGCAACAAAGGCTATTGAGTTGGGAAATAATGGCGATTACGATTAGTAATTTGACAGTTTAAATGAGCTGAAGGCACGCCGACAGCAAAAAAGTAGTGGCATTTGAAGGAATAAATGAGAAAAAATTAAATAAAAACTTCGAAACTGTCACAGAGCGCAGTCAAGTGGAGTGGGCAAGCATTGTTCATGCTAACCATTACACATCGAGCCGATATTTATGTGCTGTTGCACCAAGTGTTACGAATAAGCAGTCCATGCAATAATGGATAACTTTAGACTATGAAAAAGAGAAGCAAAAATACTACAACATAAATAATATAACACCACCATAAAATTCACCACATCTGTTGAAAAAAAATTTAACGCATTGTTGTGAAAAACTCAAACGACACATTTCTATAGCATACATTTAGGAGCAAATGTAATAAACCAGTATGCTTACTAATACACGCACTTGCTGACACTACACACACATTAACGACTGCATACTGCAAGGCGCACCTACATGCTCGTACACAGCTAGCGACTAAAGCATAGTGCACGATATATTAGCAACAACAATACAATGCGCCAACATACAACTGCCCGCCTCTTACTGCCCATCACGCTTCTCGTGTTGGCCAATTCTCGCCTTACTCTCACCTGTCCCGCCGAAGTGTGCGTCTGCAAGTGGAAAGGTGGCAAGCAGACGGTTGAGTGCGGCGGCCAACAGTTGCCGAACATACCCGAGGGCATGGATCCAGGCACGCAAGTTTTGAACTTCTCGGGCAATAGTCTGCAAGTGTTGCAAAGTGAACGCTTTCTACGCATGGATTTGCTGAATCTACAGAAAATCTTTCTATCACGCAATCAGCTGATACGCATACACGAGAAAGCCTTTCGCGGTTTAACCAATCTTGTGGAGTTGGACCTGTCGGACAACTCCCTACAAAATGTACCCACCGAGACGTTTCAGGACTACAGTTCGCTGATGCGTCTCTCGCTTAGCGGCAATCCCATACGCGAGCTAAAGACGTCGGCTTTCCGACATCTCTCGTTTCTGACAACACTTGAGCTGAGCAACTGCCAGATCGAACGTATCGAGAATGAGGCCTTCATTGGCATGGACAATCTGGAGTGGTTGCGTTTAGATGGCAATCGTATCGGTTTCATACAGGGTCAGCACATACTGCCCAAATCGCTGCACGGCATCAGCTTGCAGAGCAATCGTTGGATGTGCGACTGCCGTTTGTTGGATCTGCATATGTGGCTCAACAACTACGTGACGCCGCAGGTCGAGGAACCCAAGTGCGTGGAGCCGCCGCGACTGAAAGGGCAAGTCATCAAAACGCTTAAGAAGAACGAGCTGGCCTGCCTGCCAGAGGTCACACCCTCATCTACATACACCGAAATCTCGGAAGGCCGTAATATGTCGATAATGTGCGTGGTGCGGGCCATACCGGAGCCGCAAGTATTGTGGCTCTTTAACGGTCAAGTGATGACTAATGACAGCCTGATTGATAATCTACATATGTACTACTATATTGATGAGACCGGCAGCGCAGAGGAGAAGCGCAGTGAGATTTTCATATATAATGTAGGACCAGAGGATAACGGCACCTTCTCGTGTGTGGGGAAGAACGTGGCTGGCATAACTTTCAGCAACTACACGCTGCGTGTTATCATCAAAGAACCACCAGTGGTGAATGAGGTGTCCTTTCCACGCGACTACATGAACTATATTATTGCCAGTAGCACTGGCGCTGGCGTCATATTTGTTGTGCTGCTCTGCACGATAGTGATTAAGTGCAAACAGCGACAACCGAACAAGCGCAAGAAGTGTGCTAATGGCGGCTCGGTTACCAATGTGGTTGGCGGTGGCGCACATGCTACAGACAGCAGCGGCAACGAGACGGGTTTAATGAAATGCTCGTCCATACTGAACGATGGCGATTCGCTGAACGGCGGTGCGGGGCTTTTAATGGCTGAGGGCATGACGCCGACAAAATTGTGTAAAGAGAATGGCGGCGTCATTATGGGCGGCCAAATGCAACAAAATTTACTATTGTACGCCCCCGCGCACTACCAACAGCAAACGCCCAACTCCGCAGTGATTGGCGATGGCAGCCAGACGCTGCAATTGAGCGTTAGTATGGCTAGTGCGAGCGGTACGCCGCCACCAATGCTAGTTGGCAATGCTGTCAGCTACTGTTCGCCGCCTTCATCGGTGCGAAATTATGCGGAGAAAAATCCAGATTTAGTTAATGATGCTGAGAGCGTTAATCATGGCAAGCTGAAAGCTGCGGCGTCCTTAGACGCAGATTACGATGCGGCAAGTGACTGTTCGGGGCCATGCAGTATACAGGGTATGTCGACGACGCCGGTACAATTCGACAACTGCTACCAGCTGGCACCACAGTATGGTTCACAGATTATACGGCCGGCAAACATGCAGCTGAATTCTGCTGCAGCAACGCGCTTTGGCGCCATGACAACATTACCGCGTGGCATGCAATTGAAAACCGTAATGAACAGCTTGAGCGCCGCTCCGGTGCCACAACACCAAGTGGACGTGCACTTGAATCCAGTGTGCTTCTTGGGTCAGGATGGATTTGCTTATGACTACAGTAACGCGCATTTGCAACAGTCAGCGCCTGCACCACCTTCCCATCATCACCTGCAGCTGCAGCCACAACATTCATTGAGCGCCGAACCCTCACACGCACAACACATGCAACAGCAAAACTTTTACCGCACTCTGCCACACAATCGCGCGCACAAGCAGCAGCAATTTGCCGCGTCCGCTGCGAATCCGGGCATGCGTTACAGCCTAGAGGCGGAGTTCTTGCAGCGGTCCGGCACACCAACCTACGAAAAGTATATGCCCAATGTGCGCTTCACTGCCGAGGGCTACCCACAAACACAACAACAGCATATAGTGCAGTACCCTTCACCGCCAGATGGCTACAAGAGCAGCCAAAGCCCTGCGCCCAGCCTGCATGATGGTGGTGCGGTAAGTGGCGCGAGCGGCGTCGCCTCGACAATTTCAAATGCCACATTTCAGCAGTGGCCACCTTGTTTGCCCGGCTATCATGTGCAGGCCATACGCTATCCACAGACCATTGTCGGCGTATTAAGTCCACAGGCGCATATGCAACAACAACAACAACAGCAGCAGCACTTGCTGCAACAGCAACAGAAGTCGACGCCAACGGTTGTTCTAACACCAAATGGACCAACAAATCAATCAACACAAGTGCCCACATCAATAACAACAACAGCGGTCACGGCTATGGCCACAGCGAGCACCAGCATGGGCGGTTCGACATCTGCGTCAGTCGCAAAGCGTTGTGCAGCCGCGCAGGCTGACTCCTCCACCATACCCGAATGCGATGAGAACGACGTTTCACCCACCACTTCGACAGCTGCCAGCAGCAGTAATGACGGCAGCAGCAGCAGCGCCACCACAGTAACCATATCTGCAAACAACACGACGGCAACCACGATGGCCACAGCGACTGCCAACGAAGAATCCTCAAAGCTGCGGCATTTAAACGGACCCTTGGCGGATAGCCCAGACGAAGGCTATGTGGGCGATTCGCACGAAGGCTCCGATATATGACGACGCGGCGCCAATGGCAGCTGCGCGAACGCGCACGGCAAAGCGGGCGGCAGCGGTTGTAGTGCGGTCAAAATGGACGACTCGGTGGCATTGTAGAGTGGTCACATCCACAAGCATAAGCTGCGTGAGTAGCTGTGCGTACATTCAGATACATACATAAACGCAATTGCGTGTGTATACATACACACATATGTACATACGTGCTTGCTTCAGCTTCACGCGAAATAATTGAGTGTGAAATTAAGGCGGTGAAGTTGTAAAGAGCTGTGCAGTTTATTGTAGTTCATTGGTTGCATATTAATAGACCATTTAAATCTCGGTAATTTTTTTTTGTTAGGTTGCATTAGAGCTCCGTTAAAAATTCAATAAAACTTGTGGCTATGTTTATAATTTGCACACCAGCTAGCGTCACCCACTGCAGAACCTCAAAATTATACCAACAGTGCTCACAAAATATTACTCCACCACTCTGCTACTTCCTCTGCTGCCTGCTCTTTCAATCTTAGCAGAAATTGCTTAAATAAAAAAAAAATAGAAGCAAATTATGCGCTGGCAAAGTGTCTCTTCTCCATCCAATTGTCTTTTTTTTTTACCAATAAATTGAATTTCTTATATATTTTTCGTTTTTCTACGTCACTCTTACTCATTTCCTCTTATTTGCGCTTCATTCTTCGTAACTAGTCAAGCGTTAAATTAAACGACAGCTTAATATGTTTTCCATTTCGATACCTGTCGCAAGCTCTCATTGTGTCCGTATGCTGCCTGTTCTCGCAATGAGCACGCTGGACGTTTCCACCAGCAATAACAGCTGTTATTGATTTTAATTAACATCCACCACAGACTACACTTCGCCAGTTATAACAGAATTAAGGTAGCCAGAAAACTAAAAACAATTTAAGTTTTTCCAAGAAATATTTTTGGTTTTTAATTAGTTCTCAAAGGCTTAAAAAAATATTCTGGTATTGGTTTGATACATTTGTATTGATAATTGTTAAAGTGAATGCAATTTGCAATAACGTGGCAACTTTTGTTGCTAAATAAGTTGAAAAGAAGCGTACAAGCCAGAATTGTATTAAAAAATTTAATTTTAAATTTAAAAAAAAAATTATTATAATCAGGTGGCAACTCCCAATAACAATAATTTTGTAATAACGTGGTATTTTTTGCTGCAATACAAGTTGGAAAGAGGCATACAAACAGATATTCTATATTATTGAGCTTTTTCAATATAAACTAAAAAAAAAAAATTATATATAATCAAAAAAAAAATTATTATAATCAGTTGGCAACTCCTAAGAACAATAATTTTGTAATAACGTGTTAACTTTTGCTACTATATAAGCCGAAAAGAGGCCTACATTCTATTGAACATTTTTCATTTTAAAATAATTTTTTTTCTGATCAGGTGGCAACTTTTAATAACAATAGTTTTGTAACAAAATGGGAACTTTTGCTGCTAAGCAAGTTGAGAAGAGACATATAGACAGATAATTTATGTTTATTGAAAATTTTTCCATATAACACTTAACATTTTTAATATACAACTTATTGAAGCTTTTATATTAAAATGTGGTGGCAACATTGTAAGAAAATATATTTGTAATTCAACTTCCAAAATTTTAAAGTAAATTTTAGGCAATTTGTAATACCTTATGAAGAGTTTTTTTTTTCAAATTGAATTTGATATGGCCACCTTTTTATGAAAAAAAATTTAGCAAACACTTTAATTAAAAAATTATTAATAACAGATACCACCACTTATTTGTGCAACTCATACAACTTTCACCATCCAAGACACTTTAATTAGTTCAGAGCTGCCGCTTTTGCGCTACCAATGAATTGTATTAACTTCTCAAGATTCTGACCTACTATTAGCCCTGCTTTTCCCGGTTAACCCATTATAAAGCCTCTGGCCTAACTTGAGTAAAGTAAAGTGATGAAATCACCCTATTCTGGTCACCCTATTAATTTTTCAAAGCAAATAATAAAAACTTTTCTCAACGCGAACACCAATGAAGAAAGCGAGAACAACGAGCGCAAATTTCTTTAAATCATTTTTCTTAAATGAAAACAAAAGATTTTGTTTCTCAACTTGCCTTTATACTCTGTCACTTCCTAGTATTTATGTGCGCGTGCCTTTCATCCAATTTCCATTCATTGTACAATATTAGCTGCGCATCCCGCCATTTACATTTCGACTTGACTTTTTTGACTTATTTGGCATACGATTTTATTCCAGTTGATGTAATTGAAAAAGTTTTCATTTCATTTAACTTTGTCCCATTCTTTGAAGTCCTGCACCCAACTCACTCTGAATAGCTTAAGGTGTGCGCCTAGGTAGCTTTATTGCTGCTGGGGCTCTATTTGCGGGTAAACCCACCGATATAACGGCAAACTAGGCGACGAAGTAGATAGAATTTCATTTATACAGGCATACCATTCAAATCATAAGCCTTTGGTATTCGGGGCAACTGCTAAACAATTGATTTGTAGGCCAACTGCTCTTTTGTTCGGCTAGGTTCCCAACGGCGCGCCTTCAAGTGCCAGAAACTCTTCAATACTAGGCGCTACCGAAGCATCAAACTGGAACGCAGAGTGCAAGGTGTGCTACGTCTGAAGAAGCAACTCTTCGCTTCCATGTTCCTGTATAAAAGTGTACAATAAAGTGCGAGAAAGTGAGCGAGGGAGTGAAAAATGCAGAAAAGAGGCCGCTTCAAGCGCCAGAATGAGCGACTACAAAAGCGCAGAAGAAAACAGACAGCAGCTGCAGCCAAACAAAACATTTTACATTTTAAAGCAACAAAGGTATTTTTTTATGATTTCATAACCCATATGATATACTCGTGTAATCTTATTGCCGACTGGCTGAGTACATATAGAAAACAGGTCGTGTCTATACGAGCGTGTGCATTTCAAGTGTGCAAACTGAAGTCTGCTTTCAGACACGCACAGGTGTGACACAATTCTTTAAAAACAATACAAATAAATATACGTGCAACGTAAAATAGTCGCTATAAGAACACTCGAGCTTACGGTCTTGAGTATATGCCACTTTCTTTCCTTGACAGGCTTTGATTATGAGAAACGCGCAGCAAAATCAAATTAAAAGTGACGACTTGGCATATACATAAAAATAGCACGCATACAGCACTGCTTTAGTATATATTAAAAATATATTTTATTTTTAAGCAAATACTAACGCTCGCAGGCAGCATGTTCGCACACTTATGAAACTGCAGGCTTTTCTGCTGTTTGCCAACAAATTTATTAATACTCATACGCCGTGTCTAACAGCGCTGCAATTTTGGCACGAGCGCCACTTCACTTGTGCCAGTTAACGGTAAGATGTTTTATTTTCGCAAATACTATTGTTGTGAAGACAGCATAAAATATCAATAAGCGAAAAATGCAAAAACAGATTTCTTGCTTTGTAAATGATCACGCCTCTCAAATAATTCAGAGTTTGCCAGAAATAACGTTTTCGTAAATAACCGAAATATTTACTTAAATTGCAATAGCAATAACATGCTTTTGATAGTGGCATGACAGATGTTGGCTCAACCGCTGTCCAATAAATTATTTGATTTTCATTTTTAACTAATTTGTCTTTCAGTAACTTATTATAGTCTCTCATATATGTATAGTGGGACATATCATTTCTATCATAGTATAGCAATTTCGGGTTAAGCTCATCAATGGTTTAATGATTATTTTTCAAAAGACCCAATCAATTTTTATTACTGTAAACAGATTGATTCCCTGGTGTGTCAAGCCAGCTTTTTTGAAACCAGATTGATTCCTAATCTGACGTGTCAAGCCATCTTATTGGAAACCAGTAACTCTCGAAACGTTTTGAAGTTTTGCAAACATTTACCGATATTAATACTGAGCTAACCTATAAAAATATTGATTAAAGGCAGTTTCAGATCCAGTCTTTCGACTCATTTGGATTCTGAGCAGCACTCACTCTATAAACTTTAATCAGTTCATTTGAATTCCTCTGTGGTTGTTGGTGAACCACGTATTGAAAATTCATCACTCTATCGCGCCGAAAAATATTCCATACCAAACGACGAGAATGTGACTGTTTACCACGATATTTATGAGTTATATGTTTCTGTTTCTGTTCCCGTTTCTGTTTCTGTTCCTGTTTCTGTTTGCAGCGCTTCAAAGCCAGAATTTTATTTCCAAAACATGCCTAGCCAATTCAATTCGTAGGTAAAGCTCTTTATCATTATTGCAGCAGCGATATAAAAAAATGGCACACCTTGTATAGCAACTTGTTGTAGTCTAATCGATAACAAACAGTTAAATTTGACAAGCTGCACAAAGCAAATGTGAATAAAAGTTAATGCAAGGAAATTTATTCTAAAGCGCGGTATTGATAGAAATAATTTAATGAACAAATCACTAACATAATTGTAATTTTCAAGTCACCCATTTTCAACCAAAGCTACTCAACTGCAAGTACACTACCTGAATAGCTGTCAATCAGCTTGTATGTGTATGGCTTTCAGTGAAGTTCTGCTAAATCTGTTACACACAATATTAGCACAATCGTGCTAATTAATATAAATGCCACTAATATTTTCAGCAATTTTAAACAAAACAAAAATACCGTTATTTTAGATAATTTGAGTTTATATGCAATTAGCGTACTTACCTTCGGCTACCAACAAGCAATAAGCTGCACTTCACTCGAAAACTATTTGGTGTTAATGAAGCTGAAGTGAAAATCAAATGAAGCGAAGTGTATTGAGCGAACACTGAAATATAAATGATAATTGTATATGATTGCGCATGGTTAAATATATTTCGACAGAAATGGAAATAATGAAAACACATTATAATAGCAAATAAAGTCTTAGTATAAGAGGAAGCAAGCTCGAAACAATTAATACACACACATACAAACACAAACACATAAATCTGTATTTAATTGCTCGTATGAGTTTTCTGTCAAAATTCATGCTGATAAATCACTGGCATATCGTATGTGTGTCTGCAGCAATAAATATAATAAATTTTGAGTTATTTGCCTTTATAAAATAGGAGTATTAAAATAATTTAATTATTACTGAAATTTAGTGCTTTGTTTCATTGTCATTAATCTTCATATAGCAGAACAAAAAGTATACTTTCGCTAGTAAACACAAACACACACACAAACACCAAGCCAGCAAAGCACATTGTGGCATGTAAGTGTGGTGTCAATGCAGTTAAATAAATAATTTGTTGAACAATTGTAAATACTAAATGTAATCACTCATAGGTTTTATAGACTTTATTAAGCAACAAACAACAACAAAAGCAACAAAATAGCATTTTAAGTCAGTACAAGTGTTAAATTAGTGAAACGGCAAAAACTTAGGCATAACTTGTATATATGTATGTACAAAAAATTTTATTTCCATAAGATTTTGATTTGAAATTGTGAATTCACTGGTTTATTAAGCATTGCAAACCATATAAAATTATTAAAATTGGAATTGAATGTAGCAAAGCTAAGCATTTGTTGACATAAATGGTATATATTTTTAATTTGTAGGCATAAATTAATTATTTTAACAAATTATATTGTTTCTATGCAATTAACTAATTGGAAACTGATTTAGTTTGTTAAGAAATAATATGCTAATGCCATATGCATTATTAGAAATATTTGATTTGATTGCGAAAAGCAATTTATAAATTATTAGAAAATTATAATTTTAAGCTTATAATTTGATTATACAACTATCTGTTATACGAAATTTCACTGATTCTATGGTGTCACTGTCAAAAGAGTAAATAACTAATTTAAACATGCCATACTGCTCTCTTCTCTCTACACACACACTCTTAGAAGTAGCTGCGCATCATCAATTTAGCACAGCACAGGTTTAAAGAGTTTTGATTAATTCCTTTTAAGAGTAAAGAAGCTACAATTCTCAAATTATTAGCGCTTATAAACGCATAAATTTTTTACTAAATACAATAAAAGTTAGTATTTTACCTTTTTCCATATTTTTTAATTTTTTTTTCCAAATCAACGGAAAAATTAACAATTTAAGGGGCACAGCTAGTGTGGCAACCCAAAACACGTCGATTTTTGGGAGATAAAAAAAGTACCGTATCGATTGTTTTGAAATTTTAAGGAATATTTATACAATACACTGGGATTTGGGATTTTTTGAAAAAAAATATATTAAATATTTTTTGAGTTATACAAGATCTCCGACGGTGCTAAAACAAAGGTCCTTTACTACTGTAGTGATGCCGGCCTTCTCCGTGGATGAAACCTACAAATAAAAAAAAAGTCTTTTAACTTAAATATTTTCTCCGTACAAAAAAAAATCTATAATTGACACAATGGCGGCGTTTTAAAAAAAGTTAAATTTCACTCAAAATTTTGATCAATTTTAGAGTGCCAAAATTCAATCGATAAATCATTGTATGCAGAATTATAAACAGAACAGGCAGAAAAAGTGATTTGATGATGTTCGGAACATTTGTCTTCGAGTTATCACTTCAGCAAATTCCAAAAATTCTGTTTCGCGAAAAACGCGTTTAAAGTAAAACTAATGAAGCTGATTGAACTGAGCGGCTAACTTTTAAATGGCTGTAACTCAAAACTATTTGAAATATCGAATTGAATTGAATTGAAATTTTGTAAAATCGAAATAGGAAAAAAATCGATTTTTTTTCGAAATTTTACATCAGTTGTGCCACTTAAATTATTATATATGGTTAACGATATTCCATTTGTCCGTAAAAACACGTTTTCAGATAAAAAACATATTTATGAACTAATCTTTTTTTCAACTTAAATATTTCTGTATTATTTTAATAATGAGTGGATCTTCTCTTATCTGCTTCTTAAGTGGAATATTGCCGCGCCGACTTGTAAAGTTTGCGAGCCAGCAACCCCCACACGTTTTCTTTATAGTGATGCCTGTTGGGTAAGGTCGTCATTGCATTAAATGTAAGTTTTGTTCTTTAACTGCAGACTTAATCTACAAATCACATATTTGTATTTAAAAATTGCAATTCACAAGCACCACATTAGGAGATGGCCTTCACACTGCCAACACGACCATGTATTCGCTCCAGCTGATATTCCTCCTTTTGAAAATTATGGAAATAATAATTGTATCCAAAGGCTCTTTTATATTAAATTCCTTTCATCTAAAAAGATAATATAGTGTCAATCAGACTTCCCAGCCATATGCACCCGCGCAAAATGTATTCTTATATCTTTTTGAGCATCGTTAAGTGGTGGTTTGTTTATAGTTTTAATTTTTTCAAATGTAAAGCATTCCTTAACACCCTGTGAACTGTAGACAAGCTCGGTTTAATACCAGTATTTGTTCAGATCTTGGCCTACAATTAATGAAAGTTGGATGCTTCACTCAAATAGCTCTTTTATCCAAGTCGGATATCAGCTTATTGTTGCCGTCTTTATAATTTCGACCTAGTCCCATCTTTTTAAACAAGAAATTGTATATTACTTTACGACGGTAATTTTGAAAACACAATATTGTGCAATCCTAACAGCATTCTTACTATTACCTGATAACTTTTTTTTATTATTGAAATTTTAAATCTAATTTTCACTTTATATTACTCATACGCCATGTTGAACACACCATTTATATTAATAATTTGCAGGTGATTGACTTCGAATGCGAATATTATCAATAAATTCATTTTATTTTAACGGTAATTTTGAAAACACAATGTTATGCAATCCTAACAACATTCTTACTATTACCTGATAACTTTTTTTTTTATTATTATTAAAACTAAAATTCTAATTTTCACTTTATGTTACTCATACGCCATGTTGCACACACCAATTATAATAATAATTTGCAGGTGATTGACTTCCAATGCGAATATTATCAGTAAATTCGATTTATTTTACTACATGTTAATGAAGTGTAAATAGAAAATTATGCATCTACAAGTAGGCAGAGCAAATAAAAGAATCATATTTAAATTACCAAACAATATAATAATAAACTTACAAAAGTGTAATGACACTGGTTTAAGCAGAAGGAAATTAGAATTTGCAAGGCTGAACGAGCATTAATACTTTTTTAAGGCGGTATATACATACATATGCGAAAGAAAAAATTTGATTGAAATGCAAAAAAGAAACAGAAAAGTACAGAGAAAGTTCGGTAAGAGATTTTAATACCAAAAACAACAATTTAGTGTAAAACAAAGCGGCATAAAATTATAAGAGAAGAAGAAAGCACAAATGCGTATTTATATTGAAATAAAATTAGCGTTAAAAATGAAAAAAAATCTCAAAAAATATTTAAATTACTTAAGATTAGATAACATATAAATATAACTACAAAAAGAAGTAAGAAATACTTAATTTAGGCTAAGCAAAAGCAGCAAAATAAAAACTGCAAAATTAGACATTCGTGAAACACAAAAACAAATTGAGTTTGATTGAAAAATAAATTAAAATTAAGCAAAATGCAGTAAGTCACACACTAAAACTATGGTTTAACATTTCATTATGATTAAGAGATAAGCATAAAAATATAAAAAATCGTAGATATACCTATATATATATGTAAGAACAAAACAAAAACCTAAAAAATAGTAATAATAAAACAACTGATTACCGTTAATGCAACCTAACTGTAAATGACTACAAGTATACTTTAATATATGAGAATGATAGTGTTGTAAGACTAAACAAAAATTTAAAGCTATAAATTAATAACTAGAATTAAGCGTAGTTATTTTTATTTAGCATGCATTGCAGAAAACAACAACATAATACATTGAAAAATAAGATAAAATATTAAAACAAAAGCAACAAAATAATAACTGTAAACTATCATAAAACACACACCGTACGTCACCAATTTGGCACAAATACACGCGCAAAAGCAAAAACAACGCACTTCACCTGTACCCACACATACATACACACACACACAAGCACACATACACCACAAAAACACAATTTATTAATGAAGAAGAACACACAATCAGTAAAAAGGCAAACCAAAAAAAAAAAAATAATAAACAAACAAAAAGTAAGCGAAGCAGAAATTAAGAGAAAAATATAAAAAATTAAATTAAGTGAATGAATGCATAATTCAAGTGAGGGCCTGTCGAAAAAAGGACGAGTAAATAAAATTTAATGAAATTAAAATACTTTTGTGCGTAAGCGTATTTATTTCGAAGGCTTTGCAATATTTCGGTGGTTTGAGCACGATTCGGGCACGCTGCGTTGCCGCGGCTCGGCGCAAGGGTCAGCGCATTTATTTGCGCTGGCAATAAAAGATTCAGTTTGTGCTTTTGGCGTGAAGGACTCGAACGTGTTTTTGAAAGAGCGTCGACGTTGCCGTTGAGTACAAAAAGGTAAGCATTTCTGTGTAACTGTGCATATATGTTTACAAATTTATTTGAGTGCAGCATTTTTCTTACAAAAATATTTCGATCAAATGCGATCCTATGTAAATAATTACGCATGCAATTAGTTGGGTTAGGCAAATAACAGCAATCTGAGATTTTTTCCATTCATGCTGGTTTTTATTCAAGTACAATTGCCCAGGCTGCTATATTTGCAGTTAAAATGCCACTACTCACTATTATTTCAGATAATTTTCAAAGTTACATAAAAACATTACAAGAATACAGAAAGAATTCGAAATATAAAAAAGGTTAAAAATTTCAAAAATTAGCGGCTGTTAACATAAAGTAAGGCGTCTTGAAAAATTGGCACGTACCAAAGTTTTTGATACGCCCAGCAATCTGAAAAGAATAAGAAAAAAAATATTAATTTAGAATATTGACTGGAACTGCAAAAAAGTTTGAAAAACATTTCTTGACGAAATGGTGACTGCCAAAAAAGAAATAAATTGACTGCTTTTGAATAGTTAAACTTTAAAAATAATGAAAGTAATAATCACACCGATTTTTTTTATATTTAAACTAGACTACCCCTTAATGAACATACTTACTCCGAACAACGTTTGCGAAGCGTTAAAATATTGTTACCAAAATAATGCTGCGGTTCGCGTCCTAAATTCGATCGACATTATCATCCAGCAGAGTCGGTAATTCAAGCAACCATGGAACGATTTCGCACCATATTTACTCTAGTGGACAATGCGCATCCCTACAGTTTGTAACGAAGACGTTATTGCTGATGTGACCCATCCAGTTTATGAAAGATTTGAGGGTAGGGGCAAGCGCGTTGTACGTTCAACGAATGATCTCAAAAAGAGATGACCACCGATTCCGATTTTCACTAGAACATTTTTTTCAGCGATTAAGTTCACTTTTGGTTGATTGTGTATGCTAGCAAACAAAATTTCGCATTTGGAGTGATGATAGTCCACAAGCCATTGCTGAGACGCCGTTATATCCTAATAGGTCGCTGTTTGGTGTGCTCTATGTGCAGAAGATATTATTGGTACATATTTCTAGAAAAATTCAGCCGATCATAGTGTGAACGTTGTAGAGGCATAAGTAATGACTTTTTCGGTTTCTCGGCTGAAATTTATGCAAGCTAGCCGGCACTTCGAAATCTTTTTAAAACATAATAGCAAACCCCTATCTTATAAATAAAGCGAAATTCTTAGCACTGGCATTGAATTATATTCATTATATTTCTGCTTGAAAACCACATGTCTAAAAAAACACCCTTTACTTCCTACAGCATGTCGTTTTGGTTCGCATCACCTTGAAACTATTGACGAAGTTATCGAATAGCAGTTTAGCGCAAATAATGTCAGGGAGATATGACAGTTTTCTTCCAAAGATCGGACGAAATTGCACAAGATCCTTGAATAGCGCATATCTTTACTCTTCAATGAGTGCTTTAATATCCGATATATATCTATTGATTGGATTGCAATATATCCCAATAAAATTAAGAAAGCACGCTACGTTTGGTATAGGGTTGTTCGGTACAAGGTATGGGTGATAACGGTGCTCACTCCCTTTCGGCCTTTATATGATGAATATGATGATTTCACTTAGTTCATTGCAGATAAGATTGATTAGAAATTAAGATATTTTAATGAAATTAGTTGGATAAACCAACTATGGTATTTAAGGAGCAGAAATTAGCAAATTCAGCATACAATTTAGTCTAATAAAAAGTATTAAATTATAAAAACTACTTGACACCTGGTTACTTATACATATTTACATCCTAACGCCGCAAGTTAGTTTCTAAGCCCCCAAACTTCATTGAATAAATAAAATTTTACGCTTAGAAAACCTATTCAGCGACGTGGCCTTTCCCCAGTCAACTATGATCACATAAAAAAAGAATTATATTTCAAACCCACAGAAGATAAACGGAAGCAGCAATCATGAAAAATAATCAAGAATACTTTACGCAAATAATTTTGCTGATTTCTTTCTCTTATTCGGTCTCTTTGCGGGCTTTTCTATTTGTAAATTCCAGTATAAATTCGTGAGCAAAATTATCGAATTTTAAGCTGATTATCTTTGTGTGTTCTCTATTCACAGACCAAACAAACAATTCGAACAAATATACAAATTTATGCCTTCGAAGTACATTGAATGTATTTAAATTTGAATTTCATGTATGTGTGCATAATTAAATTCATACGTACATTTCGCATACACAACTCTTACGTCTTGGTAGAACATGCATATAAACAAATCACAACAAGAAATGTATATTGAAATCAAAAATTGAAATTCAGCTCATTGTTATGCAAACAACAAGAAAGCACATCGGATTATGTCTTCGATTTTAATTTTATTTGGGGCTTACGATTCCGGTTACGATTCACTTGAAACTGTGGCAGACAACGAAACGAGTTGACTTTTGAGTGAATGCATGAGACAATGATGGCGTTGATGGCACTGACTTTGATTTGAGCGCGCGAGCTACCGTGAAATTATGTAATATCAGCTGTTGAATGAAAAAAATTCAGCGCGAATAATTCGAACGAAAAGTGATTACAATAAAACGTGAGGTGCTCAAAAGCAGCTGAGCCAGTCAAGGGTGAGTAAGAGCCACGACCGAGCAATAACCGATAACCTCGCATAACCCACAAGCACAGAGCGATAAAACGGATGTTGGCACAAAAAAAATATCAAAAAATTTTAAAAATATATCGAAATGCTTTTATAGTAGAAAGAGGAAAATCTGGCGGCAAAAATTGCAATGATTTTACAATAAAACGCGTTTAATTTTAAAGCGACTAAAAGCAATTGAGTTAATTGAATTGTTCGCCGAACGCAATTGATAACGTTCAAGTGGCTAACGCCCACTTTGTTTATTTCTGAGAATGTTATTGATATTTCAGCTAGATTCAATTGGATATTTTAGCTACTGCTTTCGAACCGATTACGGGAATTTAGCGTAATCGACATACGAGAATATGTAATAGTAGCACGAACTGACATACGAGATGTGTACAAAGGAAATGGTGAATTTTGATTTTTAGCGAGCTGTGTACATTCGATTATCGATATTTTGTTTTTATTATAATCGGACACATATGTTTATTATGTGTTTGCATTAGGAGCCAATTTCGATTAGTAGTTTATTTTTGACAGCAGAAAAGGTTAATCACGTTTTTGTGTTCTCTTTGATTTTTGACTTTTGAAGCAAATCTATTAAATTTACCGTTAAAAACGGAATACAGTGCTCCAAGGCACTTGAAATGTTGACTGTGGCATTCGGTGAGTTCACTTTATCTCAAAAAATTGTTTATAAGTGGTACAAGCGCTTTACAGAAGATCGGGAAGACGCTGATGACGATGAGCATCCTGGAGGTGCGAATCACTATTAGGGAATTTGCAGAGGATGTTGGCATATCAACCGGCTCATTTTCTCAAATGTATTGGGCATGAAACATGTCGCAGCGAAATTTGTTACGAATTTGAGCAAAAGCAATGCAAAAGCATGCTTTAACCACCGTATTCACCACTGTATTCACCTCCCTGCGACTTTTTGCTGTCCCCGAAACTGAAGATACGAAAGGAAATCACTTTGCCACATTTGATGAGATCAAGTCAGAATCGAAGAAAGTGCTGATGACCATACCGAAAAGCGAGTCGAGTCTAAAAATTGTTTAAATCGGACCATAACTAATCAAGCCCCAGATACTGAATATGGGGACGCCAGTGCCGGCAGATAACTAGTTACCAAAAATATCTGGCAATCTAAGATGCGAGTATATATTATTGAAATTCGTTGAAATTCTTTCTTTTAGTATACATGTTTGTCAAAATTTAATTTAATCGGGTCAACACTTCCCTTAGCCCCCATATAGCTAATATAAAGATTTTCGAACTTCTGTTTGACTTTATACCGCATATAACGGTCAACATGTAAGTTATCTTAATGAAGTTGAGTGAGTATTTTTTTTTCAATAACAGTTTATCTTTGTGCCTAAAATGGAATTAGTCGCTATATAACTAATATCTATATTTTCAAACGTTCGGTTGACTTTAAACCTTTTATATTGATAGTGATATGTAAGGCACGATAATGAAACTCAGTAAGCAAATTTTTCCGTTAGCCATATATGGTAATGTCAAAAAGGGTAAAACTGGCTCAAAATTTTGCCTATCTCTCATTTATCTAACAAAATATTTTCAAACTTCCGGTTAGCTTTATACGGTACTTATCGGTCAATATTCAAAATAGCTTAGCAATATTAACTGAAAATATATTATTGAATATACTATAGTTTACTGCCGAATAGATGTGAGTTTAGTCTACAAATTATCTCAACTGTCATGTGTTACATATAATGATGTTAACAGTGGTGGATCCAGGTTGCGGACTCCCCCAAAATAGGAGATTTAATTCAAATTTAGAAAAAATTACGCAGCAGTATTAAAAATATGTTGGACGGAAAACCCCCCCAAAAAAAATTTTTGGAACCGCTACTGTATGTTATTATATTTTATTCTAGCAAACCTTCCATGTACTCGTATGTATGTTAATAAGATACCAAATTTGATTGTAATCCCTTAATGATTTCTTCTAATAATGAATGTTGCATTCTTACGCAACATTTTTTAATATACATTTCTGCTAACATCGGTAGGCATGTATCGACCTTTGTTCGTTGCAAGTTGCCAGTGTATAAAATTTTCCACTGCACTTGAGTTTAGCACTTCCTTACTTACTTAATATACATTTTCTTATTCGC